TATATATATATATATATATGGACCTTTTTTAATATATAATTGTCAATTTTCATAAAAAATTCTTAAATTTTTGACAAATATAAATTTGTCAGACATATTCCATGAGTAATATAACTTTTTCTATGAGTTTTTTTCCATTAAAAATATTAAATTTTTTGACAAATAAATTTGTTATAATTTAAAAAAAATAACATATATTCTTTAATTCTGTATAATTCTTACATATAAAAATTTCATAAATAAAATTTAATATTTTAAGAGGGATCAATAATTTCTCACAAATTTTGTAGCTATTTATGACGGAATTTTTGACAAAATACAAATGTTGACAAAAATTTCGTCACAAAATCCATCACTGACTTATTTATTATAGTATTGTGACGCATTTTTGTGAGAAAATATTTATAGAGGAACTTAATCCGTCACAAAATCCGTCACTAATTTTTTTTTTTATTCAGTGACGAAAATTGTGATGAATTTTTTAGAGACAAAATATAATCCGTCATTAATTTTATTTTTTTATTCAGTAACGAAATTTGTGACGGATTTTTCAGAGACAAAATTTAATTCGTCACTAATTTATTTTTTTTATTCATAGATAAATTTTGTGACAGATTTTTTAGAGACAAAATTTAACCCGTCACAAAATCCGTCACTAATTTTATTTTTTTATTCATAGACAAAATTTGTGATGGATTTTTTAGAGACAAAATTTATTCCGTCACAAAATCCGTCACTAACTTTTTTTTTATTTAGTGACGAAATTTGTGATGGATTTTTTAGAAACAAAATTTAATCCGTCACAAAATCCGTCACTAATTTCAATAAATGGCCGTCCGTCACAAAAAAATAAGATTCCCTCACAAAATTCGACGATATTTTTTCCGTCACAAATATTAATTTTTCTAGTTCTAATTGTTTTATGACATTATTGAATGACTTGGTAATAGTAGATGATTTCATATCAATTTAGAATAGTGAATTAGAAGTCTAATTACTCAACTCTATAAAATTAACTTATAAAATAATAGTTATTACTTACTTATATATACTATTTAATTATCTTATCTCTAATCATATGAGACCTAAGTTTTTTCCAATAAATAATTATCGCTAAGTAAACTTTAGTGTAATATAAATACATTTTTAGTGATTGTCATTAAATAATTGTTGTTAATAGCAAATTTTGTTGTAGTGATTTAAAAAATTATTTATTGTAAAATTGAATGCAATATATAAACACATTTATAATTTATGAAATTCAATAAATGCAGCATTTGATAATATCGTTAAAGTAAAGTATACATAGTAAACACTTAAAAATTTATTTGTTTAGACATTAAAAGGTGAGTTGAATTTACGTGTATATAAAGGGAAGTAGAGC